CTTCCGCCCGGTGACTTAGCACAATACCAACCCCTGCACATCCCACCGCAGCAGCCCCTGAATCACCAGAGGTGCGTAGCCGGAAGCGAGTGGAGACTGACGGGGCGGTTAACTCAATCACTGTGCTTGCATCTTGAATTCTCGTTTCTGAGACACAGCACACATCAATGCCAAGCGAGTCCAGTGTGAGTGCAAGAGCAGCTTGTTGTCCTGCTTGCTTCAGAGTGCGAACATTGAACGCGGCCAGATAGAGTGGGTGTCGAGGCTTGAGGACTGATCTGGGGATTCCTGAAGATGTCGGCACCATGTGACGAGCAGATGCTGCACGCAAAACCGATGCATGACGAACGGAGTCATCAGTCCTAAGTGCTGGGCCTACAAGGAGAGAGTTATTAATGGGGTGGGGAGAGGGGGAAGAAAAAGTATGTGAAGGAGAAAGAAGAGAGGCGTCAGCAGTAGCCTGTTTTCGCTTACCCGCCCTGCGTTATGCAGCAAGTAAGGTGACCCGGCTGATGTCACCACGCGACGGCCGATGTGGCATGAGTTTATTTGTGTATGTGCTGTTATGGTTGTAGTTATTTGTGTATGTGCTGTTCATGGTTGTAGAAGACGCCCTTTACTGAATCATAGCTACACTTAATTGATGCATAGGCAGAAATTATAAACAGAGAGCGTCAGTATGTCAACCGGTGTGATCCCATACGGAGCTGGACAGACAGATGGCACAATGATGACTGTTTACAGGAATCCTATTAAGTAGGCACCAACCCGGAAGCTGGGACCTATGCAACCAGCAGCTGACGACTCGTCGCAGTCGAGAACTTCTGGGCAGCGACTGGATTGCAAGATTAACTACCACACTTGGATCTTGTAGTCACGTTTCAGAAATGCAGCAAATATCTACCTACCTAGTTTAAAGAATGCATGCAACTCCAGCCTGTTAGCCAGGTTTTTTAAGTGCTCAAACGTTAAAGAATCCAATGAAATGGAGAAACAAATTATTGAAGTTGAGGCGGCTGCTGTGCGCAACCGGCCACTTCTTCAGGTATCTGACACACATGCCTTAGATAAGTGGCGATTAAATGGTGTGGGAGAGGAATTAATAGAGAATAGTGAAGATAGTGGTTGTGCGCTCGCCGGCAGCCGCTATCCGCTGCTCCACTTCGCTCGAGAATTGTACGCAACTTGCTTGGGTCGGGTAGGTGCTGAAGCTGTAACCTGCTGTCATACTATCCAGAAGTTAGTCTCCTCACTTTACAGTTTCCGGATCAACAAAAGATGGAGAGAAGCCCAACTTGGGGATGAACTCATCGGAAAAGATCAACGACCTACTTCACCTTGTTTTTTATATGGAAGTACTATTGTGACACTATCACCCTGTTTGACCCTGGAAACATTCTATTGGCTAGACGTTATGGTTACAGGGTCGATTGAGTCCTCTTTGGACAAGTTGTTCCGAACAAACTGGTGTAAAACGAATAGATCGCTCTTCAGAGCACACTAGGTCAATTAGTTTACACTGTCGACAAGCCTCCAAAGCGAAATTCAGACACGAAGCTGTTAAAGAATAATTTGCTTATACAGTCAGTTGGTGTAAGCACCCCGACACCGCCATTTCAGCGTACTATATCCGGCTAGAACAGTGTTGGCCGAGCCTATCGAATCCAAAGATATATGCTCACCAATACGCGTTGCAACGGTTTTAGAAAATGAAGTTGAGAAGGATCGCGGGATCTTTGCTGTTAAATTAAGGCTCACCTCTGCGGCAAATGCTTCATGGTTCATATGCGGATCTAGATAGTCGTTCGCAAGTGACCAGGTGACAAGAGCTGCTGTAACAAAGCTGAAACCTTCATTCAATAGCTCTCTTTTTCTGCCACAATAGAGAAACAGATTAGGCCATCACTTCCGTTCCGTCATTCTCCATATCCTCAGTAAACGAAGCTGAAGCAGCTGGGATCACTGCGCCTCAGTATTGGGTTTGAATTAAAAACTGACTGATTATCACGTTGCATTGGTATGCCAATAATAGATTTATAGTACTACTCAAAATTTGGTTCTCCCGCTCCAAAAGTCACAAAGTATTCTGCTGTAATTTTACAAAATCTGTTTGAAGTACTGACACCACTAAACTCCAACTACTCAGCAGAAACGTGAGACAGGGCTCTCGCTAGTAGTCCGCTGCAGGACGACATGTGTGCCCTCGTTGTGACTAGGTTAGAGTGGCACACGAAACGTAGCATAACGACGAGATTCACTCCATCAATGCTGAACTTCACACAATCCTCTACTGAAGATCATACAACTCAAAAGCGATGGAGACCTGGAACCGTGATCTAAGTACAAAGGTGAATTATCTCTGATTCATCTGTGCACGCCCGTTAAACAGCTGTCTGTTGTCACGACCCCAGATAGTGACTGGAGCGACGGATATTTTTGAAGTAGTAATGTTTTGACTAGATATACTGCTCGCGGCTTCCGCGATCCTTGCCCTGAGGTCAGCCCACTCCGTTGACTTCACTGAAAACAGGATGAATGCAAGCAGAAACAGATATCTCGCTTGATATAATGTTACTTGATGAAAGCCCTCCGACTGTCGTCACTGATCTTATAAATAGTGTCACGCAAACTTTAATAAACAGTCCAATGGAAACATGTGGCGATCTTTGTTCAGCAAATTTGGTTGAGCATCATCCCGCACACCAACTTAATTCGCAAAGTTGCATTCAACAAAAAAGAAGTATATTTTTTTCATTACGCTAACTCTGATAGTCTCTAGGTAACGCAAACATTTCACCGATCAAAACTATTGCAAACTGCACCGCCAACGAGTCCAACGTACATACCAATGACTGCCGCTTCTATTGGACGGTATGGGGTAAGAACACTCCATCCCACACCGACTAACGCACCAAATATGCTACAGCGATCAATCCGGACCTGGTTGGCAGCAAACAGAAAAATGGATGAATGCAGTTAAAGAGAGATTAACTCCGTATTTGAACAGAAAAAAAGTCTACCTAAAGGTGATACACGACTACTGATAAAATAACTGGGCCACAGTGATTTTCCGACCAATTCTCACGGTCACAGGGCTAAAAATTTGGAATTGGCCGAACATCTCAATGATGCTTGCTGAAACATGAATCCGGCAGGTAAAAACCGAAAGAAGATTCATGACCAAGGAAAAATACCCATCCACTGGATTGTAGGGCATGACCCTAAATGGTGTAGCAACATATCGGGGCTTTTATTTGAACCCTATATCCTATGAAAGGGTCCCGTGTTTATTTCGAAAAAGCTAGAATACTAGCAGTGGTACTCTTCTGGACGACAGTGAGGAAAGTGTAAAGAATCTCCAAGGTTCGTCCCTTTTCTGCAAAATTCAAAAGTAATCTTTTTTAAAGTGTCTAAAGATAGTTCGTCCTGCCTGTTCGAGGGAGTGGAATGGAACTTATGTGGATGATTCCACTGCGGACAACGGATGCTACTAAGAACTGAGTGGTGAGTTGTGAACCATTGCCAGAGGTGGTCACTTCTGGCATGCCTATTCTTCAAAAAATCTCCAATGGAATCCGCAACCTAGGCCGGCTTTTAGCATCCTCCGTAATAAAAACATTGGGCCGTTTGACGAAAACCAATGCCACTCAAAAAATAGTTACCAGTCAACGGGTCAGAGAAACCGAGGACAATACACACCAAGCGTCCTGTGTCTGCATTCAGCAACATAATCGTTTTTAAAGATCCTTTGCTATGTTAGTGCGGTTAAGATATTGTCTTCAGACAATTCAATGCGAACACTCATTCCTGACCAACAGGCCCGATGTCGTAAGAGTGTTTTCGTCCACGTAACACCTGTGTGGTCACGGTGGAACCCAGAAACGCAGGTCGGTCCGTAGTCACCAGGCATTCTGGAAATCCTCGACAAACCTCAACAATTAAGATCTTTTGAATCTCAAAAATTGCTCACTTGTCCTCTTATATTTGCTTGCCCATCCATAGTTCAAGTTCCGTATCACATACTTTGACATTAAATCTCCGCTAGTAACACTGCGGGCCGTTAAAAAACGTTCAACTGTGGCACCCTACCGGTGCCTAGCTGCTTTATCAACGGAAGGAGGTACGAGGGCTGGGATAGTGTGATTGAGTTCGATTCAGTTCCACTCAATGAGCTCGCGCCATAATTGGTGAGCTATCTCGACCTCAGACGTGTTGATCATTGGATATGCTTCGCCGAAGAGGGTGGTGAAATAGCGGCCAAAAAGCATACAGACCGGCGTTGTCAAGTGTCAAAAGTGGTCAGTAAATGACCCACGGTTTGTCAACGTGTCACAACCACAAAGTCCAAACCAAATACGATTACAAACCCATCTTTCATAAACTCTTCAGCATTATTTGATGTTCCTACGGTGTAACCGATGACTTTCTATGAATCGACCGCGAAGTTACGTAAAATCACTGCATCCACACCATTTATTGACGCACATATGATGGGAACATATTGACCGAAGTGTGAGAAAATACATCAGCAACTCACTTCTTCACAAGTCAGTTGGCAAGCCACAGACGGGATCCATTTGATATGCTTGCGAAGCACCTGACCCAAAAGCTTGCACGCGGCGCATGCCATGTAGAAAAACATTGCAGCGACTCACCATTCATCAACATTATTGACAGCACAACACTGTTCAGCAATGATACCTCGCCGATGTACAACCAAGATTTATTTGGAAACCTTATTATGAGAGGTGCCTACATCTCCAGATACTCTGGATAGGGACGACCAGGAAGGATGTCACTGACATCGATTAACAACCACATCTTGCAGTGTACCCAGCCACGTACAGGGGATGAAGATCTCGAGAAGACCTGGTGGTTATGGCACAAATCTACTGATCAGAATGTTCGTAACTCCGGCCTGGCCTCTATCTTGACTGCCCTTGTCTAGGCCCGGTCAACCTCGCAGAATCAGCCATCGCGCTTCCTTCGGGTAGCGTAGCAGCTGGGCACCGAAATGTTGTCACAGCTGAACGAGGCACATGGGGAGGACCATGCGTTCAGCTGTAAAACCCTGTCCGTACCTAACTGCTATACCACCATAAGGGAGCACGAGGGTCGGGATAGTGCCAGGTTGTCAAACCTAGATAGGGGGGAGTCGGGAGGCAGAGGTAGGGTTCGAACCATGGGCCTTTCGGTCAGTAAATTCGCGCTCTAACGACTTAATCATCTCGCCATGCACGCCCCATCCTGGAAGGCGAGTCGCATCTGTAGTACCCTCTTTGCTTGCGCCACACTGAATTAGGCGAAAAACGGCACGCCTCTCTGCAAGCGTTGATTTGGTATGCGCAATCCATGACCAAACCAATGCAGCTTATGGTGCTGGATACAATATTCGATCAAAGCTCTAGCTTCCCACCCGAACACTCGTTTTCTAATTGTGTCGTTGTGGATTGGTCGCCACCAGCCTACACAACCTATGACCGGAAGGCGTCTCAGTTCAGCTGCTTGCCAACGCCATGTCCCGCAATCACACAACAAAACAATATGCATTGTAGCCTCTTTAGTTTCAGGGATATGCCATCTTGAACCATAAGGCGTCTCAAATTAAGGAACGCGACTTAGAGATTCATATAGCAATCTCGTCTTGCGTGTTGCAGTCGAACTCTATACAAACTACGCTATCCATAATATGCTCCATAATCTCAAGTGCCCCTCTTCGGACTGAACGTCCAGCAGCACGACCACACAGCTTGTGGCAGCAAAGGTCGTACTAAAAACATGTGCCTTGTCCACTTCGATTTCGTCAGCATATTCCAGATCGACAAGGTTTTCGTCAGCAGCTGTTTGAACACCGGGTGGTTAAAGACCATTTAGTCTCTGTTTCATTATATCTTGGATCGAGAAATGGAACAGAAATGGAAGCGAGCTTTTTTCCAGGACACCACTTTTATGCGGAAGATTTCGGAGAGCTCACCAGGTACTCGCCCACGTCCGGAAGTCTTGTGATCCCCGATCATTTCGCTTACAGGCGGTTTTCGGGGACCGATGATGGGATCAGGCTCGAGCTACGGACCTTCTAGCCAGTAATTTCGCGCCTTAGTAGCTGAGGTACCTCGCGCTCGGAACCAGTGGGAACATTTCTCCGAGATTCAAGCAGTATAACTGTTGTCTGATACCTAGTGCTTGAGCGCAGCTGGAGGCGCCGGTTTGTAGGCGAAACTTCCGGTGATCTGGTCCCCGGGTGAACTGATATCTGACGGTGCAGCATCTGGAAGAAAGTCACGAAAAAGACTGGTCCATTTCTCCAGTTTGATATACCAGCCTATCGGTTGCTAAGCGGTTTGTT